ACAGGAACACCACCAAAATTCAATATTAGTCCATCATGCCAGAAACTAGCATTAAAAATACAAGCATAAAACCTGAGTTCGAATCTCCAGCACTCATGTAAAAAGCCAGGTATAGCTGCCCATGCACATTACTCCAAATAAAAGGTGGACACAGAAGGATCCTGACAGCTTGCTGCTCAGCTAGCTTAGTCCAAATAGCGATGTTCTTGCTCAGTGAGAGAACCTGTTTTAAGGCAATACAGAGAGAAGTAGAGGAAGACAGCGGATGTCCAACTCTGGTCTCTGTATGTGCACACATGGGTACACACACCTTTACACTAATGTGAGTAAATGCAACGGCGAGAGACAGACAGACAGACAGACACACACACACACACACACACAGAGGGGGGGGCACCATTGACAAAACTATAAAAATAACAGAACTATGCCAAACAAAAATACAACAACATTTTCAGGAAGATATTATAAAATCCCAACAAAGACTAGTTTCTGCCTAGTATCTCCATTCAATAAGATATTGATAAACTCCCCCAAACACTAAGAAAAAATACAAAGATGCAAATCTCCATAGACAGTTAAAATAACTTTGAAAAAATAAAAAGGCAGGATCTCCCTGGTATTTCAAATTCATAAATTATTTTAGAAGCATAGTTTTATCATAGAAACAGAACAGCACAGACTGAGCTCAGAAAGAGCCCCCCCCCTCAGAAATCTGATGTTTAAGTACAGTGGTAGAAGAATTGTTGACCTGAAGAGACTGGAGATAGGTTGTTCCCTAATGTACATGGTATACTGCTTTCACATACCTCAGGTATAAAAATAAGTCCCGCCCCATATAACTGACTAGAGTTCCATATGAAATAACATTGAAATCACAAAGCTAGCTCAAGAAATCTCTGCCCTTGCAGAAGACCTGGATTTGATTCCTAACACCCATGTGGTGGCTCAAAAACATCTGTAACTCCAGTTGTCACCCTTCTCTGGCCTCTGTGGGCACCAGTCACACACTTGGTGCGATACACGCAGGCAAAATACCCACACTTCAAAAAAAAATAATTAAAAAATGTAGACTCTAAAGGCCCACCCCAATTCTACTTAATTTAGAATTAAGTAGACTTAATTCTAACTCTAACTCAAATTAGGATCTGCATTTTAACAAGATCCCTCCATGCACTGTAGGATGGTCCCTCAACAAAGCTTCCAGAAAATTCTCTAAATTCAAGTAGACAGTAGCTTAGGCAAAATGCAGTGCCTGCTTCTCCCTGGAACATCTTCATCCCAGCCCATCCAATAATCTAGAGACACAATTTCAACCCCTGTGATAAGATACCTATACCCTGAACTCACCAGATCAAGTTTTCATGATCTCACCCCACTCCAGGTACAAGCATGGATCCTGGACACACCTACACACTGGGGCTTCTGTGTTTTACACGCTGGTGAGATCTCAGACCTTTACAAAGAATAGTTTTGACATTTTCGTAGTTACTTGTGGCCGCACTTGGCTACCACTAAGTCCAAGTATCAGACGAAAGCCTGGAGATTTGGATGAATGACAAGACTCCTGGTCCTTTTCTTACAGAATGTTTCTCACCTTTATTGTGGAGCAGCCTTATATACAAACTTACAAAAGCCCAAGTCAAACGGTTCACAACAGGATATTAATCCCAGTGGGGTGAGGTCAGGAAAAACAGGAGGTACCTGTGGTTATGCTGGAAAACACTCTTAGAGACTCCATGGGGGCTGGGTCCCAATGGTTACTTAGTTTTATAGATCTGTTCATGCCTCAAAACTGGCTCAGATCCTAGAGGTATACTCCTCTCTGTTGAATCACTCCAAGTGTCCTTTAAACAGAAAGACAGACTGACAGTTTCTACTCAAGCCTCAGTCTCCCTGGATCTTACCGGATACGCTTGGTCTAGTGCAGTGGTTCTCAACGTGTGTGTGGTGGTGACCGCTTTGGGTCATTTTGTAACAATGAAAATACATTCTGCATACCAGATACTTGCCATTCATAACAGTAGCAAAATTACAGTTACAAAGTAACAAAGAAAATAATGTTATGATTGGGGGTCATCACAACATGAGGAACTGTAACAAGGGTCACGGTGGTGGGAAGGTTGAGAAGCACTGAGCTAGGGTGAGTTAGGGCAGGTCAAGTGTAGGGCCCAGAGGCCCAGGTACCCGAGGAGCTTCTAGTTAGCCCCTTTATAGCCTGAGGCATTGACGGTGATGGTTGGCTATACAGTGGCCTTGGTCATCAAGATTTTCCTCTAAGAAAAAACACCTGATTCGTAAGGAGTGAGTTTGACCCAAAACAAGAGAACTAAATGTCACAGGTACCTGTACCTAACTCCTGTGTCACAGGGACATGCAGAGAGCTTGGGACTACAGGCAGACACTTGCTATCTCCCTCCTCTGAAACAACCCCAGACCTCCACCTACTACTCAAACCCCCCATCCCATCCCATCCCCCACCCCTAGGAATCACCAGGGGTTCTTGTCCCAATGCGGTCTTACTCCAGAGGCCTGAGTGGGTTCCGGATTCTTTACAAGCTCCAGATGACACAGTTGTGGTTAGCCCTAAGAACCACACTTGTGGGCTGAGACTCTAGAACAGGCCCTCCTTCTGGCCACCACTCATGCCTGGCATCCAGACAAGGAGGATGGCCTGCCTAGGTGCAGAAACTTCCGATTCAAAACTACAAGCTTTCCTGAGCTGACCTCAGGGGTTTTCGTCTCTCAGCCATGCCCTTATCCACTGTGAAGCAACCATTTTGGCGGATCATGCTTAGAACACAGCTTGCTCTACTCACCCATTACAGAAGGGGAGCAATGAGGCCAAGCCGGCAAAGGACTGACCAAGTTCACAAGTGACAGTAGTCAAGTGGAAATGAGACCTGAGGCAGTCAGGCAGGACACAAAGGCTGTATCAGTTCAGGGGCCTTGCAGGATGGCTGCTTCACGAAATATACGTGCTTATCCTGTGAGAACTCTGGGAAGAAGGAAAGAAAGATTCAAAAGGCAACAGAGAAATCTAAAGCTCTGCCTGCCAGCCAAGGCGCCTGCACAGAGATTGTGAAGATAACTGACCTGGAGGCTCCCTGCCCGAGACCATACAATAGCTACTGGCTCCACCCCTGGGTTGTGGAATTTGCATGAAAAAAGGTATCTAAACCGACACTAGCCTCACCCCATCCCTGTTTCATTTTTCTTGTCCTGGAATCCTTCTGAAATAGCTAACAAGAATGGAGTCTACCATCGCTTAGAAAAAAACAAAAAACAAAAACAAAAACCCTTGTGCAAACTTCCCGAAGTATTTCCGGAGTGAGGAGAAGGGGAGCAATATTCCTCACAAATGGTATTCACCGCTTTCCCAACACCTCACAGGAAAGCAGAGTCCAGGAATGAAAGCAACAAATTCAGTGACATTCTGGCTCCCAGGCCATGCATGTGCCTGGAACCAGCCACCCTGGCTCCTGCAGGACTATACCCTCTTGCCACAAAAGCTGTGCCAGCATCACTATTAAAACTGGACTTGTGGGCCAATGAGAAAGAAGGCTCAGTGGGTGAAGGTGTTTGCCACCAAGCCTGACTACCTGAGTTCAATCCTAGGTGAAAGGGGACAAATGACTCCACAATGCCCTTCTCTGACCCCACAGGTCCTACATGGCATGCACCCCCCAATACAAACACAATAATAGTGAATTAAAATAAATAACTACACTAGGCTCATTATCTGCACTCACCGGGAGCTTCCCCACCAAGCTTATTCCTATTTCTATGCAGCTATTTGGATCTGGGGATAAAGAGCCATCCACAGGGAAATCAGCCTGAAAGCCAGCAGTCTGAATACTAAATGCTAACACCATTAAGAGTTGCACTGGTCTGGGGGACTTGAGCCTTTTCTTGGTTTCTTTTCCTGTTTAATCGGAATATACCTGGCTGACCGCAGGCCTTCTTGGCATACCTGGGGGATTTGATCCGATGTCCACACTTGATCACTCATTGACCTTCCAAAGACCACCAATGGTTTCCTCTGTGCATCCTCCGAGAGGAAAGGGCTAGAAGGTGAGGCTCAGAGCTGCTAGCTAAAGGGTTGTTTGAGCAACGGGCCTGGAACTTGTTTTTACATGTTTTTCATTAATTTCTTAATTGCCTTAATGGGCACATGTTACCGTAAACTAAAGGGAAGTCGTTTTTCCTCATTTATTTACAATGAGACAGTTTTGATTGAGCAACCCAGAGACTTTCCAAATCCATTACTCTTGGTGTGCAGGAAGGGTTTCTTTTTAAGCATGGGTCTGGAATGATGTGTCCACTAAGTCGGAGCACAAAGACAGAAACCCCTGTTTTCAAAAGTCTGTTTTGCAAGACCTATTAGAAGACCACAGCCTCATCAGAGCCATGGAAAAAGTCACGTGGGAAAGAGCGAAGGCACACGAACTGAACTTTGCAAAGGAAATTGCCTCTGACACCCCAAAGGACAGGCTGAAGGTGACAGAGAGAGGCCCGGAGGGTCCAGAAGTGAGCCATGCTCTCTCAGGTCTCTGATGCCAGAAGTGAAGACTGACCTTGCCCTGGGTGGCCTGCTATGGGGTGTGGCCTGTGCAGCCACATACACAGTAACTGCCTTGGACCTTGGGATTCCACCATAGAGAAAGCGGAGGGCAGTGTCTCCTAAGACAGGACCTGGGTGTACCTTTGCTGCTGCCCGGTGTACCCGGAGGAGTCCAGGACTAACTGGGGCCCTGAAGATCAGGCCTGCAAGCCAGAGACCCAGAAGCCCCCTGGTTGCCTTGCCTACCAAACTTGTGGTTCGCCCCACCCACTCCGCTGGCTCCGCCCTGCCCCGCCCCACCTCGCCTCGCTCCAGGGGGCGCAGGCGCACACCTGGTGGTAATAAATAGTCTAGGTTCTCGTTGCCCACCACCAGAGAGTAGTTTTTATCAGATATTGCCTTTGCAAATCTTTGCTTCTTGCTCCAGCCGGATGCCATGGCTGAACAGCCGGTGTACAGACCAGAGACACCCCAAGACCCCCAACGCCTGTGGATCTGGGAGAGGCACGTGTACTTGGATGAGAATAAACGAAGCTGGCTGCCCATAGTCCTCAAGGTACCAACCGCCTTGGGGCCAGCAGATGGGGCAGCAGGGGTGTGCCCTGTCTGGGCCTAGGAGTCCTGGTAGCTGGAGACCAGGGAACAGAGGGTCCCTTGTGGCAGAAACAGCTAGGGACGCTGCAGATGAAAGTCTTTGGGTTGGGCCTGGTAGACCTGGAGAGGAGGGTGGGAACACCCTGAGGACAAGGGATAAGGCCCTCTCATACCTAGCCTGGGGTATGACTATCATTTGGGGTGAAACAGGGCTTTCCTAAACCATAAAACTGGAATATCTTTAAGGCATCTAGTAGTATCCATGTTAGTAATAAGATTTAACTTTGTTTCGCTTCTGGAAGCCTCCGGATGGGTCTTAATGAATGTTGGTGTTTTCAAAAGAAATCTCTTCTAGAAGTACTTTCAGGCAGAAATTATTGACATGCCCTCCTCTTGTAAAATCAATGAAGGCTATAAAAGCAGAATTAAAACTGTGGAGACATCGTTTGATAAACTAGAGAGTAGTTGGGGACTAGGGACTGTCTTCACTTGGGAAAGCCAGCGGCTTGTCAACCTCACATTGGGGTGCCGCTACTAGATGGTGCAACCATGATTCTGCAATTCTGGGCTCTTAAATTCTTGCTGTTGTTTTACAATATTAAATTTACATATATCTAGTCTTTTTTTAAGGTTAAAGTCGATGTGTGAAGACAGTGTAGGTGGATTTTTTTTTTTTTTTTTTTTTTTTTTTTTTTTTTTTGAGACTGTGTTTCTCTGTATTATTTTGGAGGCTGTCCTGGAACTTGCTCTGTAGACCAGGCTGGCCTTGAACTCTGTAGATCCACCTGCCTCTGCTTCCTGAGTGCTGGGACTAAAGACGTGTGCCACTAATGCCTGGCGTAGGTGGATGTTTTTATTTTGAAGTTGTACAAATTTCTTTTCTCTCTTTCTTTCTTTCTTTCTTTCTTTCTTTCTTTCTTTCTTTCTTTCTTTTTTTTTCGAGACAGGGTTTCTCAGTGTGACAGTCCTGGCTGTCCTAGAACTCTGCTTTGTAGACCAGGCTGATCTCAAACTCACAGAGATCTGCCTGCCTCAGCCTCCCAAGTTATGGGATTAAAGGTGTTCGCCACCACTGCAAGTTATGTTTTACACCCCCAAAACCATGAACCAGAGAGCATTTCAGAGCTGTGGTAGATGTTGTCTGAACAGGAGTCTTGTGACAAACTACAGTACAGAATTTACTTCTCAGGACTGACAGAGACAAGGGAAAGCTATCTATAACAGTGGTTAGACTTTAGAATGTTGGCTAACAGTCCTGAATGCTAGCATGCTTACACAACTGGCACTGTGATCCGAGTTACCAGTTCTGATTTATCTCATAGGCAGAACATTTCACAAAACTATTTTCACCAAGCACAGGTCTGCACCAATGGGTTACAGTGAATGCGGTCGAAGCCCTATTATTGGGAAGGTGGTGCAATGTGACTTGGGTGGCCAACAAAAGGATAACAAGGCTGGTGGGGAGTCCTGTGGGAGAAAGAAACTGGAGGTGGGAAGGGAGACAGTGAGTTGTTCTGTAGAGAGTTGTGAAGTTGGTTTGTATTTGCATGTCATATTTTTGAGTCATTTTGTTTGGAGTGTCAAATTGCATTTGTTTTTCCTGCCCCACCCTGCCCCCCACTCCACCCCTCCACTCCTCCACTCCATCCTCCAACCTGAGTAGTGCTGAGGAGGAAACCTGGGACCCTGTGTAACTTAGATTAGAGCTGTACTGCAGGGCTATAGCCCAGCCATTTGTACAATGCTCTTAACTTTAACTTTTTTTTTTTAACTTTAACTTTGAAACTTGGTCTTAGTTACTTAGGTTGACTTTGAGTTGCCTTTGTAGCCTTGAACTTGTGATCCTCTTGCCTGAACTTACTGAGTAGTCCATTGCAGGCCTGTGCAACTTGGCCCCATTAGATCTTCACTGGGAGTATCTTATAGAGTTTGATTGTGCAGGGTTTTGTTTGTGTGTTTAGGTGGTGATTTTTTTTTGGGGGGGGGGTTGATTTGGGTTTTTCGTCTTGAATTAGTGGATAAAACTCATTGTTAGGAGCTGGTGAGATGGCTGAAAAGGTAAAAAGGTGCTTGTTACCCAAACTGATGGCCTGAGGTGTGGCAGGACCCCCATGATGGAAGAGAGCTGACTCCTGCAAGTGGTGGTGCATTAATTTTAGCACCTGGGAGGCAGAGGCAGAGGCAGGTAGATAGATCTCTGTAAGTGTGAGGCCAGTCTGGTCTATATAGCAAGTCCCAGGCCAGCCAGGGTGATAGGGTGAGACCACGCTTCAAAACCACACATGTGACCTCATTTCAATTAATAAAACTGGATGTCTGGTCTCCACACTAACATCGGTTTGTGCAATATTTGTTCTTTATAGACATACATTTGAACAAAGGACTGCCTCAAAGGGAGTTACTTCTCTGTAGATTTTGGGGAGGCTTACTGTAGACAGTGAGAACCCCCCCCAAGGCATTGTGCCTAGAAGGAAGTGGCAACAGGAACAGTGGGGGAAGAGGGAGGCAGAGATGCTCTGTGTGTGCTTTGTGGACTTCTATGGACCCTGGGCTCACTCTGCCCGTGAGAAGGCACCAGGACTCCATCAGGCTGGTCTGACTTTTGGATCCCCACCCTGGTGTGTAAAGACAGTAAGTGTAGAAATAGTTGCCATGGCCCAGGAGAGCTGTGCCAGCGATGGGCAAACAACGCCTGTCACCAGAATCACAGTGTTAGAAATGGGTGTGGGGGCGTCTCAAGAAAATGACCACACAACCCAAAGCATTCAGCAAGACAGAAAGTTATACTTCCGTAGGTTGTGCAGCTGTGCCACAGGGGTCCTGAGTCCCATTCTGGTTGGTCAAGAGTTCAGCCTCTTCACAGTTGAATAACTTAGAGCTGTGCAGTCCACAAGCAAAGTGTAACTTTGAAAATAGGACACAACCTTGAGCACAGACTTTGATCTTAGAAATATGCTGACTGGAAGGGGATTTTCTTTTGCTAGATAGCCTCTTTAGAGATGGAGCTTCATCTCATTTAACCCTCTGATAGAAAAGACAGTGCGTTTTGTTTACAGTTCCCACAGGGGTCCATAGATAGACTGGTTCCTCCCTTGAAAGAGGGCATTGGACAAAAGCAAAGTCAAAACCCAGGCAGGGCTGGAATAGAGTTGGTAAAGTGCTTGCCTTGCAAACGTAAGGTCTTGACTTCAATCCCCAGAGTTCAAGTTTGAGAAACCGAGTGTTGTAGATGTTGCTAGTAATTCAGCACTGGGGAAGCAGACCTCTGAAGCACGGTCACTGACCAAACAGCCTCGCTTTGTGTGTGTGTTTGTGTGTGCCATGTGTGCCCATGCATGATCCAAGCCAATAAGAGACTTTGTCTTAAATTAATAAGTAAATAAGTGAAAGGAAAAGTGGATGATGCCAAAGAAATGACACCTTAAGGTTCCCTCCCCCCACACCTATAGGACCAAGTTGAAGGACTCGGTGGCTTAGCAGTAGGAGCGTTGGCAGGAAAAAGTGCACCCTCAAGGATGGCTAGACCCTGCCAGAGTCCCTAAGATTGTGTGTAGCCTGTGGAGTTGAAACCAGGGGCAGTAACTGCTCAGTGTATTGGGTCAGTGATAGGATGGACACTGGGTGTTGTGCCTGAGGGAGCCTGGCAGTGGTAAGCAAGAGGTGAAGGTGTGTTTTGTTCTTCCTCTGCAGACTGATGAAAAATTCCAGGTGATCTTGCGCCAGCAAGACGTCCCCTTGGGGCTTGCTATGATCCCTGAACAGCTGGAGGCATACGAGCTGCCTTTAATGTGGCAACTATACCCAGGGAAAAAGTACAGAGGCAGTGACTCCATGCTCTGGCAGATACTGTACCACATCAAGGCAAGCACAGCTTATCCTACGGACTGAGTGGGTAATCTCCAGTGGTCCTGCTCTCAACTTGGGGTTGGCTTGGGTTATCCCTCCATCCTAGTACCAGAAGCTAAGCTAATGGAAGGGGAGCTAACTGCAGATTTTTGTTTTTAAATGGGTTAAAGAAATAGAAGAGGCTATCTTCTGAGGTCTCAACCAAACTCCTTAGCACAAGGAGCTCTGTGGTAGTCACTGACTGAGACCAGTGGAGAGGGCTAGCCCCTCAGGTCCCAGTGCTGCCCCAGGCTAAAGAAAGCTAAGCCAGCATAGAAGGGGAGTTCTTGGGGCTGGGTCTGATCACTCTTGTCTCTCTCCTTCCCCACCTTAGTTCAGAGGCGTAGAAGACATGCTACTTGAACTGATGGAGTCTGAAGAATATCCATGACATGGTGAGTGCACCGGGGCTCCATCAGGAAGGAGTAGTACCCTTTTCCATGAAAGCCATGCCGGCTCCTCCCCAGCAGCTGTCCTCAGAGAGAGCCCAGGGTGAGGCAGGCTTCCCAGAAGTGTCCATGTCTCTTCCTTTACCCCCCTAGGAGCTACAGCTACAGCCGTGTTCATGGGCCACCACAGGTTACCGTTGTTTATGATCAGTTGTCACTGTGTTTCTTTTTTTTTTTTTAGATTTTATTTATTTATTATGTATACAACATTCTGCTTCCATGTATATCCGCACACCAGAAGAGGGCACCAGATCTTATAACATCCGGATGGTTGTGAGCCACCATGTGGTTGCTGGGAACCCAACTCAGGACCACTGGAAGAGCAGTCAGTGCTCTCAACCTCTGAGCCATCTCTCCAGCCCCCATCACTGTGTGACGTTTACAGAGGCAGATTTCTCCATCTTACCCATTCTCCTCACTGGGTTGGTGTTTGCCTTGGCCCAGGTATAAGATGGAAGGTTCGGAATTCGGAGCCAACTGACCAGCCACCCAGCAGCCCTACTGCCTGCTTCTCCTCCGTACCTCTAACCCTGCCTTCTCGTCTTTCCCCAGGTCCTGCAGCTCCTGTCTCCTTGCCTACCCCAGGTCCACAAGAGAGATGTTTGTACTTATATTCACTTTGCTAGTCACTTCCTTTCTTCACCACATTGGGCTCCAGGAAGAAAAGCTGGCCGGAGGTTCCCCCTTCCCATGCTCCTTTGCCTGCTTGCTCAGCTGTCTTGGTTGGCCCTCTGCTCTATTCTCTCCCCAGCCCCCAGCAAGTGGCACCAGAGAAGTGCCTGGCTCTTACCATCTCTAGGTGACCAGTGGTAGCTGTGCCTCTGAGCCTCTCAACTGATTTTCAGCCTTTCCCTTTTAAAGTCCCTTGGGGCAACCGGTGTCTGGTTTTTGAACTTGCCTACTCCCTCATTGGTCACTCAGTTACACATGTACCCTGAGGGACAACGACTAGTCACTTGAATCTGGCCAGATCTGCTGTCTCTCAAGGTGCTGTGTATGTACCCACTTGACCTGTGAACCCCCCCCCCTTACTTACCCAACAAACTTAGGCTTGGTCAAAAGGCAGTATAAAGCCTGAGAGCTTCATGCCCCTCCTCAGAACCCAGGAGCTTGCAGCCAGGGATATGCAAACCCTGGAGCCTAGGGCCCTCACTAGAGCAGGAGGTCAGGCAATGGAGCTGGTTTAGATGAGCCCTCAGATTGTCCATTTGGAGCTCCTCCCTTTACTGGTAGCCATATACCCGAGCGATCAGATCCTGTATGTAATGTAATGCTGTACTTTGTGTTGCTGATTAAACATGTTGTCTAACCTGTGCTGGTCATCTTGCATCCTTGACGTAGATGTTAGCAGATAAGGGAGAAACCGGGGTCACCCAGTAACAATGCTGAAAGGGAATGTCTGGAGGTTTCATGGTATTCTCCTTTGGAGATAAGGCTGGACTTTGAAAGTTTTTTACATGGTTCAATTCTCAAACCCCAGTGCTCTTGGAGTTGTGATTTGAGAACCATTGGAGACAACAACCTTAAAACATCCTTGTTGGCCAGTCCTGGTCCCCTGCCCCCCTTGGTATGGTTCTGTCTTCTTCCCAACCTCTGAATACCCTCAGCTCCAGATGCTCTGCTGTCCCTGGGAAGGCACCAGGTGTTCCATTCCATATGTGGCTTCTGTTCTCAATCCCAACAAGTCTTTCCCTCATATGAAACTGCCCCCATCACTCCATCCCAACCAGACACCATCCCCGCATCCATGGCCTGCAGTCACAGCCTAGCCCATCCTGTGCCCTGCCCCCTGCTGGTTTTTATGACCTGCTGGTCCTCATGCCTTGTGAGTAGGGCCTCACAATACAAGGGACACCTTACCAGAGAAAGGGGACCAGAAAGGGCCTAGTGCCACCCTGCTTCCCATCTCTGTTTAGTCCACAGGGCTGTCCTGCAGATGCAGTTGGGGAACAAGAGTGTCATGCTCTGAGCCTCCAACAAGAGCATTGTATAGGCAGTCCACCTCCTCCATTTACAGTCTCTCATCCCTCTCACCCACTGGATGGATTAAAAGCATGGCCACTTGCTTTGATTAATTTGATTGTCAATTTGATGGGATCTAAAACACTTAGGAGACAAGCTTATTAGGGTTCTTTAAAGGAATAATAGAACTGGTAGAATGAACATACATGTATGTAAATCTATAGAGTGAAGTAACATCTCATCTTGCCAGCAAATTTGTTAGTGGTCACACCCCTCTGGGCGTGGCTTCAGCTGCCAGAGGGTAGAGAAGTACAGGGCAGGTGCTCTCTCATGGGTAATGGATCACATCAGAAGGGCAGAGACATCTTCTGGAGCAGGAACGGTGTGGCGGTTCTTTACTCTTTATGTGTATAAGTTGTTCCCCAGCAAAACACCCATTTATCATTTATCTTGGGTCTAGTGAACTCATTAATACCCCGACTTCAATAGACTTTATTAGAATGACTTACAGGCTGTGTGTGGTCCAGGTGATAGACCAGGAGAGGAACAGTCATTTGCAGGATTCATTTGTTTGGCACAAATCTGGCTGCCATGAACTGCACTGGGTGCTGTGGCTATAGCAGCCAGCAAAACAAGGGCTGTGAACATACAGGTTCTGCTCTGCAGGATAAGTTTAGAAACCCAGACCCCCAGAAGAAACTAGAAGAGGGTGAGATGAGAGCAAATGATTCTCGTCTGAAGGTGGCTTCCCAGACATGCACATACGTGTTCCAGTACATGAGGCCAGAGGTCAACTTCAGTGTCTTCCTCTGTCGCTTTCCATGTTCCTTTATTAAGAGTACAAACGAGATGTCACCACAGGCCAGCATGCCCCAGGAGAGGTAGGCAAACACAGGGACAACCTGGCAACCTTAGCTGTCCCTTCCCAGGTAGGACAACTAGCACCTCCACCCCTGTGAGTGATTTGTGGTCAGGAACTTCCGGCATGAGGAATACGGCCTACCTATGTCAGTGTATGACACAAACTCTGTGAGGACAAGTCTGTCCTTGTGACCTGTTAGTGGGGTGGGGGGACGACAAACCTATTTACCATCTCGTGTGCATGCTTAAAATTGTGCAGCACACACAGGCTGTCTAAAATTACATCATAGCTCATTTGTCAGCTGTCAAGGAATTACCCCATGCCCCCCCCCCCCACAGTCAGTGCTACTCAGGAAACTACACACTCAGGCCTCTTGAAGGTTTTCTGAAACCCACTCCTTGTCTGTAGAATGCATGCTATGCCTTTTCACTGCTTCTCTGTGTTAAACCTGGACATCACATCACAGGACACCCCGAGACTCATAACACAGTGATCCTCTTGCCTGGGCCCCTTCACAGTGATGGGGTCACATGTGTCCCCTAATGGGCCCAGCTTTCAATGTGGATGCCGAAGGCATGTCAAGGGTATTACTAACTGATCTGTCTCCTTGGCCCCAAACTCACTGTGATAAGAATCACCTGATAGGAAACCTACCCTGAGTGCACTTCTGAGGGTATGGTACGGTTTTGTTAATTTTATGAGCATGTTTTACAGCAGGTTTCAGGACCTCTTTTCCTTGCATGCCTTTTGAATAGCAGCTCCCACTGCCTGCCCTTCACAGCCCCTGGCAATCACTGCTTCATTTTCTGCTCCTGTGATTTGCACAGCTTTAGGAATCTTCTGTAGATAGAATTATGCAGGATTCACCCTACTGTGACAGACTTGCTTCACTTAGTGTGATGTCTTTAGGGTTCTGGCCTCCAATCACTAGTGTGTGTGTGTGTGTGTGTGTGTGTGTGTGTGTGTGTGTGTGCAAAATCTCCTGCACATATACAACACAATTTTTTTTATAATGATTACAGTATGCTGGTTTTACAATTATAGTAGAGTATCTCTGTTAAGCCTTACAAAGAAATGAGAAACTTGCACGAGGCTTGTAGAGGGACTTTCTCCATCTATCTCTGTCCCACTGGACCAGTTTCTCTCTGCCCACTGGATCCCTGCAGCCATTATGAAATAACCATTAGAGACTTGATATATATTTATAATTGTTTGGCCAATGACTTAGGCTTCTTACTGACTAGCTGTCTATTAATTATTCACCCTTTTTTATTAATCTGTATCACCATGTGGCCTTGGCTCACGTAGATGATACCCTGGCATCCTGACTGCCTGGTGGCTACATGGTGTCTGCTCACTGTCTTCCTTCTGCCTGCCTCTTTGTTAGGAATTCCCACCTAGCTAAATCCTGCCTGTCCATTAGCCAAAACAGCTTTATTCATCAACCAATAAGAGAAGGACATAGTCACAGCATACAGAGGACATCCCCCATCAGAGGCTTTCCTTTATTATGGGACTCCTGTGGAAGGCCACCTCACCACACAAGCATGGAGTCACTCACACTAAAGTGGGCAACGGCTGCTAAATTGCTTTCTGATAAGTCAGGAAAGAGATGAGCCAGTCCCTCACACAGGCATAATGGGGGAGTCCCTCCCAGAAGTCACTGAAACTGCCAATCTACTTGTTTCTGAGTTCTTCAGCCTTTTCATGACCATAAAGCCTATCTCATTCAATCTTAGGAACCAAGGGCGCCTGTCAATTTACTTATTTATTATATATACAGCACTCTACCTCCATGTATGCCTGCATGCCAGAAGAGGGCACCAGATCTCATCATAGATGGCTGTGAGCCATCATGTGGTTACTGGGGATTGAATTTAGGACCTCTGGAAGAGGAGTCAGTGCCTTTAACTTCTAGGCCATCTCTCCAGCTCCCCAATTTTTCTATAAAGGGCCAAATAGTAAATATCTGGAGCTTTATGGGCTGTGAAGTCTCTATTGTAGCTATTTGATTTTGCCATTGTGGGGAGGAACATAAGTGATACATGAATGCTGAGTGTGGCTGTGGTCAATAAAACTTTACTTATAAAACAATACCTGGCCAGGCATTGGTGGTGC